AAGAACGTGTCGGATTAATAAAGTAAATTACAATATTTACAATAATAACGGTACATTAAGTCATAACATGCTAACCTTTTACTGGATTATCAATAATCTAAATAAATACAGAAAATTAAAATATGTTGACTGAATCTAAAGTATTCCTGACAATTTTGGCTGACCCAGGGGGAGTTTTCCCATTGACATTAGCTGTACCTGTACACACATAAGTAATCATACAGCGGAGCAGAATATGGTAATGAATTTGTTGGGAAATATGAGACATTATCTTTCAGTTACTTGGACTTAATGTCAGTTATTAAAAACAAATTACCATTTTATTTTACCTATATTCATTCATTCATTTATTTGTTTTTGATCTAGTTATTTCTAATTTCAAGAATTTGGTAATAACACTGTATTTTTTTCAAAATGAATTATTTTGTCCTATGTTTATTTCATTTATTCACGGAATGTGTGATAATATAGCAGAAAAAACGTTTTTAAGATGAATTAACAATGAATTTTACCTTCTAGAATCCATGGCTTCCTTTATATAAAATCTAGATTTCCCAATTTCTGAGTAACTCAGTTACGGAAATTCAAATGCCAATTATAAACTTACAGATGGTAAAGATATGGGTATAGGCAGAATAAAATACTAGTAATTAAAAGTTAAAAACATGGCGAAGTGTTCCAAACAATCATTTACAAAAACTCTTCCATTTAATTTTAGAGAATGATAACATAAATTATCACATTTATTCACGGAAAAATCGATAAAACAGATCCAGACAACTATTATAAAGATATGACCTTTCTCAATGCACTAAGAAAACTGTTCACATAAATTTTGAAACAAATAAATACTATAATCGAAAAAAAAATGGATTTATGCATAAATTTAGCACCAGTGACTACATTTCTGTACTGATACAACTATTAACAAAATACCTTCAAAATAGAAAATATATTTGTGTCTGTTTTATAGACTTCGACTCAGTTTGGCGCCAAGGTTTGCTAAACAAAATATCAGGAATTGACATCACTGGTAAATTCTATAAAGTAGTTAAAGCTATTTACAAAATCTAAACTAGAGTTGTTAAAAAATGGCATGACAAACACATTCCCCGTGGAAAGATATATCAGACAAGAGAATTGCCTAACCCTCCACTTTTTGATCTATTTCTAAACGATATAAAAACATTTCTAGACCCAGACAAAAATGATCTCCAATGCTTCTATGTTTACATACAGATGACTTGGTTTTGTTTATGTCTTGTTTACTTAGCGTGTTGTTTGGTGTGGTCAAAAATATTGTACACAACTAGGGTTGAACAAGAAAATTTGACGTCACGCAACAAGACCTAAAACGTAGGCCGTGCTACTACTCTATTGAGAAACATTAATTCAGATAAAAATATACTAAAAATGTTTGACTCCGTGATTTTGTTATACTATAAATTAACAAGTTGACAACAGAGTATCAAACATTGCACGTCCTTTTGAACACAAACTAACTATAAAATTGTCATACATGTATATGTTTGTATGGATTTATTGTCTTTCATTGTTTTTCAAGTGTGTGTAAGTGTATGGTTTCTCCCTGCTTTCTTTATTGTTCAACTTTATCAAGATGCAAACAAGGATACGATTCAATAAAGAATTTTAGTATAGAATAAAACAAATTCTAAACACAACATTATTGAAAAACATTGTTATAACGTGACTGTCAATAAAACAATGAGAGTAAAACAACATAGCTTAAGTTAAAGACAGTTTAGTCTTTAAAAACTAGCTCAATCTCATATCAGACATAGTGTTAGAGCATGGAGGTAGAAACTGTTATACCTCCGTGGTTAGAGAAAAATACATGCCCGGAAATGTAATTACTGTTGCAAAGAACAAATGATTTCTAGATGATCCGGCCCTGGTCGCTTGCGGCCCTGGTAAAAAAAGACGATCCGACCCTGGTCGCTTGCGGCCCTGTTAAAAAAAGACGATCTGCCCCTGGTGCATACAAATGTATGACTATGTTCACAACTTATTTTTCGTCTTTTGCAGGGTATTTTTCGCGATATAACACCGTGTTTGACACAGTGCGACAGATGTTTGTTCATTTACCCGCCGCCGCCCGTGAATCTGTACGGGTCGCAGACACATAATAAACGTCTAATACAATCTGTTTTAGTCAGGGTTTGAATGCACATTTGTGGTTTGTCGCGTAATAAACGTTAATATATTAAATGCACAACGAATGTATGACTATCTTATTAACGACTTATTTTTCGACTTTTCAGAGTTCATGGAAAGAATGCAGCCAATTAACACTTAGATTTTAGCACAATGCAAAAGCCGTACACACCTTCCGGTCTAGCAGGCACGGCGTCAAAGTACACACAACCATATTGGAAATGACAATGAAGAGTCTAGCAAACAGGTCTAACTCCAGCGTCTCGATGTCAAATTATAGAATAAAACAAATCCTAAACACAACAATATTGAAAAACATTGTTATAACTGTAATTAAAACAATGAGAGTAAAAAAAAAAAAAAGTTAAGGACAGTTTAGTCTTTGAAAACTAGCTTGACCACATATCAGACATAGTTTTAGAGCATGTTAGAGAAAAATACATGCGCGGAAATGTAAATACTGTTGCAGAGAACAAAAGACTAAAAAAGAGATAATCTGAACTAATTTGCCTGTCGACTATGAGGGGACTAGAAATCGTTGATTTCTAGTACATGTATACACAGTAACGGGTATTTTGAATTAACAATGGGTCGTGGTGTTTGTAATAATACAAATATTTTACTAAATTTCAAATTCCCGGTTAAAATTAAAGTCAAACTTGGTTCATTCTTTCTGGATGCCTTCTCGAATAATGTTGCATACTACCATGGAACTATAAACCCCGGGGTTTATAGTTCCATGATACTACCTATCACAAATTTGTCGAACTATACGCCCCACAGTATACATGCAGGAGAAACAAAAATTACCACCAAAACTACTTGTATGGTATATGTCGGGGACCCACGCAACGTGTAATGTGTCCAATCCGGGCATTGAAATGCGGTCGGATGAGATAGCCATTTAAAAAAAAAAAAGAAAAAAAAGAGTCAACCTCTCACTGTGTCCCTCAAAGCGTAGACAATGTATGTATGGATAAGAATGCACGATAGAACAGAGGGTCTATCATAATGATAAAATACAATAAAAACAATTCACAAGTTCACACACGAATGTCACGTAATCTCCCGATATCACGCTTATAGCTCTCCAAACAACAGACCAGATCGTAGGCTCACAGTGAAGTTTGCAAGTCATACGAGAGACAGTGTTCAAACTCTGTATATTGGTACTAAATATCACCCTGCATCATCGT